CAAAAAAAAAAAGCCCAAACAAAAGAGAAATGTCATGGTATTTAGCCATCTGGTAGCAGCTTGAAAACAAATTGTCCTCCAAAGAGCAGAAATACAGTATGTTTTCTCTCAGTTCACTGGCTTATGAATCGAGCTCCCCCCACAACACGCATCCACTTAAACAAAAAAGATTCACTAATGCTGGCTGTGTGCAGCCACAGCAAACTTTTACACCTATGTCTGATTGTTCAAAGCACATCCTAACCTATTCAGCTGACTGTACCTTTCTCCTCCTTTACTCAACCCTAAGGAATATATCGGCAACAGAGTTTAAATCCTCTCGATTTTCTTTCGCACAATGACAGCTTGCCTTGTGCTTGCTGATCTTCAGAGGTTTAAATTCCTCATTTTATAAAGCTAGTCATTAAAAAGGGAAGATGGCAGCCAAGTCAGTCATTTTTCTTCCCATTGACAATTGGTGACATTTCTCCAGCAGTGCACAAGGTGTTGAAAACCTGGCAGCTGTTACCTCCTGGGACGAAGGTCCTTTTTTATCCTCCTCTTGACAGTTTAACTCAATGGGTCAGCACCTTTAAAGACTGCAAAGTATCACTAAAGTGGATGGCCTGAGTTGAATTACTGCACCCTCCCTAATCAATGTAAACCCTCACTGCAGGTGAAACTCTACATCTATAGAGGTGCACGGGGGAGGAAAATGTAATGCCCCAAGCCAGATGGGCTTCATCTTGCTTTTGTTTTTCCTTTTTTTAAGAAAGGAACAAGCTAACAAGGGGACAGCCACTCTGTTAGCGCTTTGGCCTCTCTCATGGCTCCGAGGCCCCAGGGTTCCAGCCACACAAGAGAAAAGAATTCAGCATACACGTAAACATTTAAAAGAAATATAACTAGGGAGATGGCAACATGCTGTTTTCAAAGAGTTGGAAGTCCTGCTCAGAGCTTTATTTATCTCTACCCACGTTCACTGGGCTGTAAGTGGACACGGAAACAAAAGGTCAGGAGAATAGACAACGCTAGCAATTTACTCCCTTATAGAGGAATGCAGAAATGCAGCACATCTGACAAACCCGATTAGCATTAAAGCAGGCTGCGGGAAACAAACTGGTGGGTTTTTCTGCTGCAAAACAATATCTCCACTATGCAGTCTTGAATTTCTGGTCAACTAAATGTTTGGGATAATACCCGATCCTGGGTATAAAGGAAATAAACTCTGGAGGGTACTGACAGTTAACAGGAAACAAGTGCACAAAAATTATGGGCACTGTTATTTTTAAAAACTTTTTTCTGGATTAGGTTATTCTACCTTTTAAATAGTGCTACAAACTAGAGCTGCCTCTTCCTCAAACATACACATTTAACTCTACCATAACTATAACATGATTTATCTTTTACTGTGGCTTTTGTTGTGGCTTGCGTATACTTGCAAACACCCAATGATTGGGATTTGGGGAATTGTACGCCTCCCAGAAAATGCACGGCCTCCAAAAACTGCTGCACATTTGTGGAAATGCTGTGGGGGTGTGGAAGGGGGATGAGGAAAGAGAAAGCGTCTTAGTGACAGGGAGACCCGCAATGGCTGCCTCCATTCCATCTGCGCTTCAAACAAAAATGCCTGTCATTGCAATCTTGCTGTCATCAGCACTTCCCCACATGGCACCTTTTGCCACGATTTCCTCTCCACAGAGACTTCTCCCTGCCCCCCACTTGCCCTGTAAAGCAAGTCTTGACAGCAAAAAGGCAGTTCATTATTACCCCATTTGAGCAAGGGGGAGAAAATTTCTTGAAGCAACCAGCATTGTATCAGGCTCTTTAAAAAGACAGTAGAGTAATCAAGTTCAGGGCAACCCTGGACAGCTGCCCTGTGACCTATGCCTGCTGACCCATGCTATTCATCACTTTCCTTTGGAGGACCAGGGCAAGCTCCTGTAGAGTGACCACCACAATAGACAGATACAAGCCAACAATAATATGGTTCATGCAGAAAGGAGGAGGAAACCCAGATGGTACTGCAATAAATTTACAAATCTTCATTCATGGCTCTGTTTAACACACCCAAAAGCCAAAAGGCTCAAAGGTCCCTGGAGAGCTTTCCCCTCATTGGTTTCTAAAGGCAATCTCTCTCTGCTACTAAGCCCCACTCTTCAGAAATGGAGACAAGCCCTTAAAATAACAAATGCCTGACCTAATCAATCCACCATTCAGATCCAATGCTAAATGATGGGTACTGAAAACTAATTACAGTTTTTGGCAACGATGTTGAATTTAAAATGGAAACATACAGGTTAAAAAGGCACTGAAGCATTTGAGAGTCTCTTTGAAAAAAGGCTGCACACATGTACACAACAGGACTCAAATCAAGGAGCCTGATTCAATCATTCACACATTTATTTTTAAAATGAATCAGATTAGTCCCATGTGTGACCTGCCGGTCCATCTGTATTCACTGGACTTAATGGGCACTCTTTTCACTCTAGCTTCAGTTTGAAGTATGAGAGAGATAAATTTAGTTTAATTTTCAACAGATCAGGCTATCCATTTTCCAAATGGACCATCTGGATCAGCCTATTAAAATTAATTTATAACTTAGCAGTGAGAAAATTAGTTTTTTAGCTTAAACATAGTTGCCAAATTTTTTGTCTCCTTGTCATGGTCTTCCAAGATTTCACACACACAAATGTCCCTACTTTCAGTTTTTATCTCAAATTCCCCCCACTCCCTTAATAGCTGTTCATAGGGTTTAGATTTCCCTAAACCTTTCATACGTTTCAACTGTTTTTATTCTATTTGTGTCTTCCACAGAGGACTACATGGAAAGTGGACAAAATAAAGATTGCCCCATATTATGTCTCCATGTGGGGAGATGTGTTTAATTTTGTAATGCGTAATGAGAAATGCTGTATACTTCCCATACATGTACAGTTCAAGCAGCTAATATTTGCAACATTGGACCACTTACAGGATGACACTGCTGCTGGTTATAACATGTATATCCAGGGTAGTCAAACTTTTGGGGGCCTATGAGTGCATTTAGCAATTTGAGAATCAGTCATAGATACCACCTCAAAATGACTGTCATGTGATAGGACAAATAACCTATCACAAATAAAAGAAAGAGGTGAGGTCTGGCGCACTTACAGACTCCTTTGAACCTGAAGTTTTCGCTGTCTTTTTCTTCACCCACTCCCCCTTTTCTTGGGGCTGGATGCACTACAGAAGGAGGCATCAGTCTTCAGGCACTTGCCATCTTCGTTTTCAAAAAAATGTCTGTGAGCTCCATCATGTAGCCCACAGGCATTCAGGGAAAATGAAGGTGGCAGCAACTTGCAGCAAGTAAATCTGGCTTTTATTTTAAATGGGAGGGGTAGTGTACCTTTGTGGGCACCAAGAAAGGTGTCTGGCAGTACAATGATGCTCACAGGAACCACAGTCCCTACCCCCACATATGTTTTTCTGCTGCATAGCATAACTGTGCTGGAAAAGCAATACTGAATTGACCCTAGTTAGCCAGTTATAAAACGTTACTTATTGTGCATAGTATTAGGGCTCTTTGGGTCATCATAAGAACTAGTCTCAGTTAGCAGAAAAAGACAGTGAAGGGAAACCACTGTTGTCTGGTACAAAGAACGAAGCTCAACATCCATAAAAGCTACAGAAGCTGTCAGTGAACAAAAAATAAGTGGGAAGTAAAAGATTGTTTGGGATTCTTGAGTCAACTTACTAGATCAGAATCAGCTATTGAAGTACATGCTGATCTTTTAAAAAAATAAAATGAATCTTTCTCCTATTTTGATGTTTACTTTGCAACAAATCTGCCCTTTAGAATATAGACTATGTGTCCTATCTATGTTCTAGAAGAATGAATAACTATTTTCTTCAAAAGAGGAACACATTGCTTTTACGATTTACTCCTTCCATCACTTTCTCTAGGCAACATAGCCTGCAGTTCAGATTAGGTCAATCCTGCCTATCCAAACAAGTCAGCCAAATCACACGTTTTCTTTTTCCACTTTCCCAGCTCTACCCACTGGTGCCAACTATGTGGCCTCGCCATAGAGCATTCTACTGTACATACAACTGGTAAGACAGCCATTGTATCAGTAATGTTTATTTGTCCAGCCAAAGACATTACAAAAGAAAGAACAAATAAGATATGGCACAAATAAACCCTAAATCAACATTTCAACAAGTAAAATTATTCATTTAAAATGCTTTGGTCATCATTGCTGCTTAAAAATGGACATTTTAAAAGCAAAAGACTTCACCTTTTCAGAGATTTAAGGGGGAGCTATCCACCCAGTGCCACTGAAGGTTAAGAATATGGCAGGGCTGTAAATAACCCTTATATGTGTCTGCACCTGATTACCAGAAACCAATTATGAATTAACAGTCATTCTTTATAGGCTAAAGAGCTCATTACCTCACCTTACCTACCTTCTTTTCTGGCCCAAGCTGGGACAAGGAATATAACTGAACATTAGCTCTGTTTACCTTCACTATAGTCCCTCACAAAGGAGTTCAGAGTTAAACCCTTGCCCGGTGGCAGTACAATCTTGCTGTTCCCCAAGAGGTCAAGTCAAGCAGATTATAATCACAGAACACATACATGTCTGTGCTGAGTATATGATGGGGAATGCAGAAGCATGTAGAACATCCACATGATTGGACTGATCCACAAGTTTCCTCTTTAAAGACACTGCTGGAATGGGTTAGGATCCACAGGGAAGCAGCTCCCATGCTGATCTGAATATGAATTAGCCCTCAAGGATACATTTCCAACAGTTCTGTGTTGAAATTGTGCATACTTTTTCAGTAAAATTGTGCATTGTGCATACTTTTCCAGTAAAATAAATTGGAACAACAGAAAGAGCATGTGGGAACAAGCAATGTTTTACATTTGTTGGATCTTTCCAAGGTCCAAGTAGGCTAGAGGACTCTAGATCTCTCTAGATCTTTCAAGTAAAGGGGCTGGGGGGGGGGGTTGCAGCCCTGAATCAACTGCATACCTGCCTGAGTGCATTCTTCTCGGGAATGATCTTCCTGGGAGGCTCATCATTGTTACAATCTTCTCTCTCAGAGGAATTCTATGCAGAGGACAGGGGTTGGGAGGAAGAAAACATCAATTCAGATATATTTTTTCAACATCGATCTCAGAAAGCAGAAAAGGAAAAAGGAAAAAGTACCCCTGATATTTCCAGCAGCATTATCTAGGAGCTGTCACCCCTCTCTTTTTGTACACTAAAAGAGTGGGGAGCAATTTCTGGTCTGTCTGATAGACATTTGGGTAGTTGGAATTAGTATCTGGCATGCACAAAGACTTGGTGTGCATGATGCAGCAACCCATCCTGGGTAAATACCTGTGGACCTCAACTACTAACTGTAAGGTGGCTTGTTTTCAGGCAAAGCAACTCTGCCAGTTCCTAGCTTGTTGTAGGGGCTGTCAAATCCGTGATGAGTTGTCAGTTGACCGCAGGAACTACCTCATTGGAAGTGAGTCATTTGGCAAGAGCAGCAAAAGTCCTCAGCCTGTCCTGGTGACTGCACTTGGTGATCCAATCATTCCCAAGCAGCGCTTTGTAGCAACATCACTGGCTCCTTACTCCTTTTTTTTAGGTGGTGGGGCAGACAGAAAAAACAGATGCAACTGAAATTGCATTTTTCCTCCTCGTCTTTTGCAGATGTGTGCTTATAGCTGTCCAAAATGTGAAATCTTGCCTGGCCAATATATTGATATTTGTGCACAAAGTAACCTATATATGCAGCCTCACCCGCTCAGCATCCAAGGATGCTGCCTACTGGACAGTATACCCCACGGACATTTATGAAACAGGAAGCATGAAGGTTACTTTTTGCACATTTATCAGCTGTCGATTGAAAGGCAAAACCAGGAAGGGGTTTCTGCCTTGAAAAGGGGTGGTGACTATATTTCCCCTTTAGCAGTATCATCTTCTAGTTTTCAAGGATTGCTTCAATGGTTCTCATTGCCTCCTCTTATTCTACCCTTCTAGATACTTCAGAAGAGTATGAGCTACATCCCATACCCTTTTCATAAGCACTTATTTTTGACATCTATCAAAAGAAAAGGTTCTTTTGAAAAACCTACCTGGAAAATTTAAGCATATTTTGGTATATATGCACATGAAGCTCCAGGAAAAAAAATAAACAGTGAACAAAAACAGGATAACAGTTGGAAAGGGGTGAGAAAAACAAGACTGGCTAAGCAGGATCCTGGATAGAGTCTGGACAACCAAGGGAGAAAGCGAGGGAGGACAACCATGGCAAGCTTGATCATTTGCTTACGAACAATTCGCACAGTGTAGCCTATTTTTAGGATGGGTTGTCACATCATAAGGACTTGCATATATCCTGTGACATATCTGATACTGTCAAAAGTAGCAAAGGATTCCAGTGAATCCTTTATGACAGTTGCCCATATAATTAACAAATAAAAAAAATTCCAAGTCAGAAACTTTGTATTACCCGCATATAACCTGGCTGGATCTCAACTCTTCTAAACAACTGAATTGGAAGGTGTTTATTTAATAGACAGATATACTGCTAACCATATTAAACAGATATCTAAGTAATTGGTTCTTAATAACACCTGGGTTTAAAACACGGTAATTACAACCACCTGACAAGACCAGGCTTTTATATACCAGGATTACTCCATACATTTTTGACACTTATAACACAGCCATTCTACCCAGGAAAGATTTCTAGCTAATCCAGACATTCTGGTACCAGAAATACAGTCTTCCATCTTCATTAGCAAGGGATACCACAGCTTGTTAGAAACAGTGACTAGAATTGTTTTGCCTATGGCAGGCAAATGAAAGGTGAAAGACAATGCTCTCTCCACCAGGGACACACAGCCAGAATCCAGAAATAATTTCACTACTTCCATGTGGTTAACAGGGCTTTGGACTGTATTTAAGATACTTAACACATCTGTAAGGTACCAGGTTAGGCAAGACTAGTTTGGCATTTCGATAACAAGGATGTGTTAAGCACTAATATTAGGTGTTCTGGAAACACTTTTTAAAGAATTATTTGCAGAATGCAAATAATTAAAGGAAATATTTTAGAAAGTATAAAAATCAGACAGGCTTCCTAACCAGTAAGATTTAGGACAAATCCAAACAGAGAGAATGTGGTGAACTGCCATGAAGGGAGTTTGAATATGAAAGGGCCGACAGCATACCTTACTGCCTCTTGTCTCAGTTGTTCTACTTAAAGACTACACTTCTAAGGAATGATATGAAACAGGAAGTAGGGTGAGTGACAGTAGAATTAAATAAAATATGGTGGAAACACAAAATGAGAAAAATAAGTGAGGCCATAACGATGTAAAGCAAGTAGATTACACAGCATGTTTAGATTTGTAACTCAACGTTACAAGTGGCAGCACCTAGAGAAATAATGTACTTTTGGAACCCTTTCTTTTCTTTGCTCCTTAGCCTTCCTTCCAGGTTAAACACATTACCAAAAGCCATGGAATTCTACTGCCTTTATGTTGCCTGTCCCAACATGCTTCAAGTTTACCAATTTCTTTCTTGAAACTAAACAGCTAATTTGAAGCCTTTGTTTTATTCATTATCTTTATAGGTGGCAAGACTAAGAGGTTGGCTGAACAAAGACCAGACAATGACTGCCAAGTGCATATGGTGGCTCACAGCTTGTCGTCGCCCCATTCTACTGCACCAACACAGCAGACTATTAAAGAGGAGAGCTGCTCATGCACTTTTGTCAGCAAGTTAAGTTACGCTTGGCAAAGACTGAGAAACTGGAAAACATTATGCTCCTTAAGAAGCAGCAAAGATGGAATCAATTGCTTAGAAACTGGAAATTTTGTTTTCAGGTGGACAACAAGCTTCATAATGTTCTCAAAACGTAATCTGTGCCATGACCAATTCTCAGGCCAGATGAAGGCCAACATGGGTCCTGGGGTAGTTGGATGTCATGGGTCACTTACGCCATCCCAACAGCAAACTTGCACTATGCTTGTGTGTATACAAACACAGGCAAAAGAAGAAAAATGTTTTACATGTAGCAATGCAATAACACATACATATTGCATACGTCGTGGAAATCATCTTGCATGTTCTCCTGGAAGTAAAACATTTTATCTATGGTAAAGAAATGAAATACAAACTATGTTCCCATTTATCACATCCCTTTTTATAGTATACAGCACACATGCACAGGAAAACAAACATACAAAGAAGCTCACACGCATGCTACAGAAACAGGAATTGTCTCATTCGGATATGACAGTCAAACCTATGGGGGGAAAGACACATACAGGTGGGATTGGTTCCAGATATGTTTTTGCCTGAGGTGAATCAGCAATGCCCCACATTCCTCACTGAATGATCTCTCAACATTTGTTGCAAGGATTAAAATGAGGCAACCTAGAGTTCCTGGAGAAAAGTCAAAATATAATGCAATAAATAGATAAACTTGAAAACTATAATTGTCTTACACAACGTTATTAACAATTCAAAAGAAGCCACCATAGCATGTAAAATGGTCACGTGTGCATTACGTGGTACCTTATGTGCGCCCATTTACATGCATGACCATAGAGACAAGATGCTCCAGGACTTTATTGGAAATTTATCTTAGAGAGACCCTGGGGAAAGAGTTAATTACCGAAGGATTGATACTAAGTCTTGTAACTCATAATAAAATTTTGCAAAAGACATCATCTAGCTTCTCATATAACTCCATCTTTTGCATAATCATCAACTCAAACAAACTTTATTAACAGTACAACCCTATGTATTTCTACTTAGAAGTATCTACTACTGAGTTAAATGGGGCTTGTCCTAGGTAAATTTGTATTGGGCTGCAGTCTTACATCTCAACCCTATGAAGGTCTACTTTGTTCAACATGATTCTCAGGTAAATGTGTATAAATTTTCATTTCTCCTCTACTGCCTCCTCCTTTTCTTTCTTCTCTCATTTTGTTGTATAACTCTTACCTTCACAGTTGTGCATCTGCGATTTCCTAAAAGAGCTCACACATCAGCAACGTATCAACAACACTGGACTAAACTGCAGTAGTACCTTACACGACTCTGTCCTTCTACCAAGAGCATGGGCATATCCATGGCCTACTGAGAAGAGTTGATGTAACCCTTGTTCTGCCACAGTGCCACTTCCCACACATACACAAAAAATTAAAATAAAATGAATTAAAATAATGCTGGATATTTTTGTAGAGGTACAGTGATTTTAATTTTTTAATCAGTGAATAAATTCAAACTTTTTGCATAAAACTAGAAACAGAGAAACAGAGCAAGTCAGAAGGGGCTTCCCGTGCCATCTAGTCTGACCCTGGCTCCAGCCAGCTCCTCATGACATGCCTACCATGTTAAGACAAGACCTTCAGAAGAAAGAGTATGAACTTCCATCTTTGATGCTACATGCTATTTTGGGCTAGATTCCAAAAAACAGAAAAGCCCTGTCAGTGGTAAGCACCTGTTATCCACTATGCATCTCAGAAGTACAAAGAACATCCAGTATTCAAAGAAAAGGACTTCTTCACACAGCACACAGTTAAACTGTGGAATTCATTTCTACAAAATGAAGTGATAATTGCCGATCTGGATGCCCTTAAAAGGAAATTAGACAAATTTATGGCAGATAAAGCTAATGGTGCCTACTGGACTAGATGGCTATATGTTACCTCAGAGGAAGTATGCCTGTGGTTACAAGATACTAGGAAATTTGAGCTGGTCAAGTAGTGCACTCACGTCATGCTTGTGGGCTCCCCCGGTGCAGCTTCTTGGCCATTGTGTGAGCAAAAATTTGGACTAGATGGACCTTGATGGTCTGATCTGGCATGGTTCTTATGCACTGCTCCTCACTGAACTGTTCAGTAAGTTCCCCAAGATCTCTTTGGGACAAGGCGCTGGATGCTTGCTTGAGCAAGGAGGTAATGTGCGCTTAAGAGCAAAAGTTCAGAATTGTTATTGCCTTCTAATCTACTGACCAATAAAGTGCTGCTTTGCAATGAAATTATAGAACAGTGACTACAGTTTCTAGTAGCAAGAACAAAAGTGTACAGCAAGTAAAT